TTTGTGGTCAATGGAAACGCAGCTAATAACTACTAATTCCATTACGTCCTCTTTTTACTTGCCCCACAACACAATTGGACAAATCACGGTTTTGCCAAACTCCGCCCACCCAATACTCCACCTATGTTTTAAACTCTGCCAATCATGGTTAGGATAAACTCTGCCCACATTGAAGAACTCAAATAATCATGGATAGGTCAAACTCRGCCCACACAACAAGAATTTCTCCTTATGTATTGCAGAGACCCCTACGTGAAGGCAAGAGATCCTAGATATAGACCCTGTGGTCTCCCAAGGCATTTCCTATCCAGAGAAGTTAATTTCTCCCGATTTCTGGGTCTTCTCTGCGTGTCCTCCCAATGCTAACATACACGTAACTGTGTTCATGTTAATGAAAATAAGACCACACAGTAAGGAGCCCAACGTGTACCCTTTGAAAAAGGCTGTGTTTTATTGAAATACAGCAGACATCAACATGTTGTTTTGCTGACCTGGGCAACAGAAACGGCACTCGAACACTTCCCGAACAAATACTCATGGCTATTATTATTATCTTCACAAATACACGTTCAACCCAAACTGAGTCAATTCCACCTCCTTTTGGGTCGTGAGCTGAATAACGAAAGTGTCGGGAAGGAAAAAAAAAAAACGTAAAAATAAACGAAACAAGCTGGTGCGCCACGTCAATTTGGGTTTTCAGTGCAAAATTGCTGGTAGAGTATGCAAAGGTTAAAAGTTTCACACACCTCGTATGGAGAGTTTGAGACAGTGTTCAGCTTGTTTCTGTGCCCAGGGTTGGTTGTTTGATAGTTGCAGTAGTAGAAGAAGCAGAATCTCTGTTATGAAGCAGGGCTGGCCTCAACTCCCCTTTAAAACGACAACAACACATTTAAAGCACCTGGTTCCTCCAAAAAGAAAATCCCATGCCGTCTTCTACAATGCAAACACTGATGTGTGTTTTATCAACCTGAGGGGACATTTATCTTACAATGCTGAACTTTTTTCTTCATTTTTGGGTTGAATTTTTAGTATACATGGAAACATTTTTTAAAGATGGTGAACCAAAACACTTTAAAACTTTTTTTAGGCTCATGACATGAAAAAAACATACTTTTTGTTCATTTGCAACAGATAAAAACGATTCAGTGTCGGATAACCCGTCCATCTTTTTGGACAAGAGAACACTTCTGTGCAYGTCTTGATTGTCTCGATGATTTTGATTCTGAATTTAGCTTAAAATGAAAGATGTGTAAAAAAAAAAAGAAGAAGATCCCCGAAGGGATAAATCCGATGAACAATCTGCTTTGATACAAAGATTTTGTCCACAAAGTGCTGTGATTTTTGGCACAAAATGACCCTCGAGTTTTAACTCGGGGTCTGTCCTGGAAGCTTTTAGGCAAAACGTTACATTAAAGCAACACAATTGATTGTTGGTAAATTTAAAAATACACTTTAACTTATTGCTATTGGCAAAAAAAAGCTTTTTCTGTTATTTAAGGGGGAAAGTCAGAATTAAAGTTTTTATAAGAAAAATAATAATACGTTTAGGTACATGGTTATGATTTATGAATAAATTGCATAAAACTTTTTGAGGGAACCAGGTGCAGACAGATAAAAGATTCAGAATGAACAAAGATTTAAGTTAAGAAAAGAAAGGATTCGAGCATTTAGGTCTCATTGTAGGTTTTTGTCTTTTAAAGGATTTAATACTTGACTCATAAAAGTGATTTCAGTTGCGCCTGAGCTGCAGAGGATGGCAAAGAAATGGAGTTAGTTCACTTTGAACCCATAAATGTTAGAAAAATCACACGTCTGTTAAGAAACAAGACGATGTAAAGACTTTTTTTTAAGGAAAAAAGTGATTAAATGGAGTTGTGAAGACTTGAACGTCTTTATGTTGTGCAAATTTACTCGTAACTCGACAAAATTGAATTTTTACCAAGACGATCAAGCCAAGAATCTTTTATTTCTCGTCGTCAGAGAGGATTTATCAGTTTCCCGCTCTGCTCCTGTGATGTGCTCGAATCTTTCTTTATTCTCACATTCAGTCAGTAAACCCCCCCCCCCCAACACCACCACTGTTCCAGAGCTCCTCAAAGCAAATACATTCATCAGAAAAATATGCAATTAAAACTTTTTTTTTTTTGCACTTGCAAAAATAAAACTCTCTTGGATAGCTTTCTAAGGCGATGCGTCGAGCGGAGGAGAGCTCCGACGACGCTGAAGATTTACAAAAAGCTACGAAGACTTTAAGCGATTTAAAAAAAAGCACTTTTAGCGACTCGCAAACGGCAGCCAGGAAGCTTTGCACGAAAACCTCCGGACCGCCACTGAGCAAAAAGCCCAGCGGACGGAGTTAACCCCCCCGACATTGTTTCTGTTGAGGCCAGCCCTGGTTTGCGTTTGTAAATACAGTATTTCAGATATATGTCGTCTTTTCATGTTTAAATCTGACCAGAACACTACAGCGGCAGAAGCAGTACATAAAGAAGCTCATATTTTGACTTTACTATTATGCTCTCTTGTTGGAATGGAACTAGTTTCGACTAAGCCTACCGAGCCAACATGTAGTTATGTATCGAATAAAAGGCTATTCATTTCTCTTTTTAACTCTTTTTTAAAATTATTATGTTTTTTTGTTTATGACAGGCATGTATGACTGTGTGCGAGGAGACAGAGAAAAAAAAACACAGAAAGAGGGAAGGAAAAAAAGGACAAAAAAGTGTGAAAAGTCGGAGAGAAATAAGTGACAGAGACGAACACAGAAAGAAAAGAGGACAGCGTTTGATTCAGGCGGCTTGATTCTGGATTGTGGGTTTTTGCTGTCGGGTTTGTGTGTTGCATGATCGTAACCGTTAAARCCTCCTGTATTTACCACCAATCTGACAGTTTGATAACTGCTTTTTACATGTTTTTGTTTGTGTCTTTTGTTCCTTATCAAATTGAAACAAACAAACAAACAAAAAAAAAAGATCCACGACAGTCACTTGGTCATACAAGCATGTTCGTTGGAACAAAGTGTGCAGATTGGCTTAAGTTTCATTGATTTTTTTTTTCCTTTTCTTTTTTTTTTCCTTTTACTTTTCTTCAAAAAAGGGTTCCAGACA